TATGATATATTATATTAATATATTTTAAGTATTTAATTATTTTTTTTGTGACACAATTTTCATTACAAAATAACCAAAATTTTTTTACGTGTCAGCTGCATACCAGGTACCTGTAGTTTCATCCGATGCTCATTATATTGTCAAAGCACTTTAATAGTTTAATCAGCCATTGAAATCAATCTTTAGTAGGTACCTAAAGGCTGAATACTCAATAGAGATGTGTCCCAAATTGATTGTAATATTTAAGCACGCGTGTAGAAATTATCACATTCTAATAAAAAATACTCCCAAAAACAATTAAATATTGTCAGAATTCGGTGCAAAAACATGTTGGGCTTTCTTAGATTTCAAAGAGTGTCAACCGAACCAAAACCGAACAAATTTAAAACGTCAAATACATCAGTTATTCTGAGCTTTTCTTCTCGTTGATAACAGTAATTATAAGTTTGTAGTATACTATAGGCGAGATGATTGCTACACGCGTAGGTACTTGATTGTTAGGCTTAGTATTAGGACTGTTCAAGTCCATATTTCATTATATTACATATTATTTAGATACAATAATACGACTATGACGAGTAGTTTATACCCGTACTTCACAATATTATTGCGTATAATAAGTTTATATTGGCCGGATACATAATATTAACCTTTTCTGTATAATTTTTTGTACTGCGTACACAATAATAATGCAATTATTATTATCATTTCTATTATTACAGCAACTATATATATTATATAATAATTATATACGTATTTATTTATATACCTGTTTTATACGCACACGCTCACGCAAAACAAATAGGACCTACCTCATCGGTATAAATGGATTTAAGAATACCATAATATACCATATTTTTGAAAACGAGGTATAATATACCGATTGGCTGGAACACAATGCGCATATATTATTATAGTATATGACGGACACGCAGTTTTTCAATGGAATATTATCAAAAACAATAATTATTCAGATAATATCAATAGGTACAACTCACGTGCACAATATAATGTTATGTACGTAATTATGTACGTAGGTGGTATATATCGTGTACATAATTATTATTATATTGTATACTCGTTTTGAACAGTATACATTATCATATATTATTGTAAAATATGTATTTAACACTCGAAATTCGTGTATATCGAATATAGTAGTCGACGAAGTAGCCATACATCATCACTACCATTACAACAGTGCAATATATATGTACATTACGTACACAACAATATAATATTACGTATGTATTATTATTATTATATTGAGTACATTGAGTATATGCATTTTTCTTAAGTGATTCGTTTTTATTGTTGAAAATAATGGTTAAGACATATTTTGTTTATTATTACAAAGCTTAATACATTAGGTTTTTTTTTTTTTGATTACTAAAAATAGTAGTAGTATAGTAGTAGTAGTAGTAGTAGTACATTATTATTAAATCGCAACGCATTTTGGCGAAACAACAAACTCACATACATACAAACACACACACACAGACACTCTCTCACATGCACACAAACACACACACACAAATATACATGTTGATCACACGACCGGCTACCTATAGTGGTGCGGGGGTATACATATTATTAAAATATAATATGGTATAGGTGGAAAGTGACGGGACAATAGTTGGGACGTGCAATAGTAGCGTACAATGATCGATTAGCCGGCGCGAAGTTTTTTTTTGAAAAAAAAATAAAAAAAAAAAATACATGTTAGCGAGCGGCGATCTGCTCAGGTACCTAATGATAATAATAATAATTATAATTATAATAATATGTTTTGTTTTTATAATAATAAAAATAACACGACGACGGTTGTTACCATATAGTATGATGTGCCTGGTGGGGGAGAGGTACCTAATAATAGAGTTCCAATTGGAAAAAAAAAAAAAAAATTAATATAAATCGCTTGTATTGTACATTTGTACAACACATTGTACAATTGAATTATATAAAAAAAAAAAAAAAAAAAAAAACATAATAATAATCGTAACAATAATGATGTTAAAAATTAGTGTGTATGTATATACATATATAATATATTATATATAGGTATAATATATATATATATATATGCGTATATTACGTATGGTTACAAATCAAATAAAAATTAAATTGTGGTTGTCGGGAGAGGGGAGGGGGTTATGAAAATAAAAATACATAATTATCGGGGGTTTTTTAAAAATATATAATATAATATAAATACTATATTATTATATGGCACCTGTTAACGCGTCTAGCGTTTTAGAACATTACAACACTTGAGCGTGCGGCTTCGTACTCGATTACGACACACACGGCCAACACGCTCATCTAAATACAGTTAAGTTATATACAATATTATATTTTTAATACTGCTAAATATTTTTGAAAAAGACATATCATGCGGTCATACACTTTTGTTACTAAAATAATATACTGTTGTATAGGTAGTAGGTGTACCTATACTACTACGGTGTTCGCTGACGTCGAACAGTCAGAATATAAAAGCGTACAATTCTTTATTGTGTTGCAGGGGTGGTGTCACATATTATATTAAATGTATCTATGTGTAAAAGAAAAAAAAAATATAAAATAAATAAATAAATAAAAAGGGTCGTAAGGAATTTGGGGGCGGGGAGGGGAGGCAACTAAAATGGTACAGTTCCGTGTATGTACATAGTGATTATATATAGACAATATTTACAAGAGAGAGAGAGACAAAAAAAAAAAACAATAAAAATCAAAACGTTCATCTCACAGAGATTTATCGATAGCTAGGTATTCGATATTTTTTTTTTTTTTTATACTTACGTTAAACAATATATCATCCGAACGCGGTCGGTTCTCCTAATTCAGGTCTGTTAATTATTATTTGTATATGCTCATGAAATGTATACTGTATGGGTATATATCGTACAGTAGAAATCGTTTATAAAGACACCGTGGTTGTATAATATTGTCATAATATGGTCGGGCCCCTTGAAATAATGGAGTTTCCGAGACATAATATTATTCCATCCGGTTGGACGGCTGTATCTACTACTATGGTCCCTCGGACGTCATCATAAACGATTTGCACTGTATAACACTGATATTATGTATTTAGTATCATCATCTTATATTATTCTCAATTTTCCAGAACAATTATCATCATTACTATTGTTACTATTACACATGAACACAATATTATTAATTACTATACTAAAGTTCGACAACCTGTGGTTTGGTCAAAACGAGACGTTACGGAACAAAAATAAACTTATAACCTAAACTGTACACTGAGTGTTACTATAATATTATAAACATAGGTACATGCATAAGGTGAAATTTAAACGTTGACTATGAAATATTATATTATATCAAGGCTGAAAAATAATGTTTTATAAACTTTTTAAAACTCATAATTACTTTGTTAATATTGACAATGCTTGCTCACATTTTTTTTTACAATTCATTATCATTATGCTTGTACCTATATCATACCATGTGGACACTCATAATTAAAGAAAACTATCCATATTTAGTTTAAGTAATAACAAAATTGTTTAAGAGCTACATATATTATATTTTCTCCCCATAGCCTCTTTAATATTAAATTTTTTTTTTTTTAGAAATTACAAATATTAATACTTTTCGGTATTGAGTACGTTTTGTCCATAATAATATAAACACCTATAGGCCCTAAGTACGCTAAACAATATAATCTAATATATTTCATAATACTAGTTCAATATTTTGATCCGACGATCGTCACTACGCATATGAAATTCTGCACAAAATAGCGTCATTATACTCTTTAATTTTATACTGTGATGTTGGTGGATTAAAAGTGCTTATTATGAAAAGAAAATAATGACTAGAATTATGATACTAAACAATATTACTGAACATATTCTCCGTTCACAATTCAAATAGTATCGTTGGATTCTTTAATATTTTAACTATGTATTCTGCTCCGATGGCTACAAAATGGTACATATGGACGTTATACCCGCTTAGTTACAAAATGGTAATAACACTCTAGCAGAGATATTCGCCATCATTCCTGTCACGTACCGCGAGGAGCCAATCGTCGCGTGGAGGGGAGGTGTGGAAATAATAGTATAACACATAGTTCGGGCAGTAATAAATATTAATTCCTATAATAAAAATAATTTAAAAAAAAAATAATGCTAGTCGGCAACACGCCCAACGGAATGTCAGACGTGCTCCCGGAGCAACAGTACCTATAATAATATCATGTGGAGTGATCCGATTTCGTACGAATATAAAACTATTGTACATCGGCCCCACAAACACCGGACCGTTTGGCCAACTAAATCGTGTTGTAGCATAACAGACACAGTATACAGTACGGTAATGGTAGCTATAATATAGGGCTGTATAATAATACACAGTCTTCGGAAAATGCAACGGGAAAATCCGCAGTCGCGTGTGCACAGATTGTGTTTACCTCTCTCCGGGTAATGAATGCATCACGCGCATTAAATAATATTATTATAACAAGCACGTGGTGCTGTCGACTGCATCGACGCAGTTGGACGCTATACGTTCAAAAATCAAACAATAAAGAAACGTTTAATCGTTGCAGTAATTATTGAATACGCAACAAGTAAACAATGGTAAAAAATATTTAAAGAAAAAAAAAATTCCCAGAGGGTTTATAGTGTACGTGAAAATCCCTCAAAGCGATCCTATTATAATATCGTATTAACTACATTTAAATCGCAGCGGTATCGTCGAGTGTTCATAGATAAAAAAAAAAACCTACGACCAGTGTATCTGGGATTTCGTTGAATTCATAATAAATATAGGTATTGTATACTATTTCCTCACGGAGTCATATGATATCAATAATAATAGTAATAATAACTGTTTAGTTTTTTACGAGCCTGGTTTCGAGAATAGTATAACGATGATGATGATGATGATAAATAATAATAATAATAATAGTAAAAATCATAATAATAATAATAATAATAATAATAGTAAAATAATGTAATACTATTCTAGTCTTGATCTAACGATTGAAGGGCTTCGGGACGGTGTCTGTTGCGCCGGTTATGTCTGAACCGAATTCGACTGTGCTTGACTGGTGGTTTAGAAGAAGGATGTGTTGACGGTGATGGTGGAGGTGGTGGTGGTGGTGGTGTAGTGGTCGTTGTGGTGGTGGTGGTGGTGGTGGTGGTGGTGGTGGTCGTTGTCGTTGTGGAGGTCGTTAGCGATTTTCTGTTGTAACCGCTACCGGCCGACGCTATCGGTCTCTTGGACGAGCCGTTGCGCTTTCCTCCGCTGCCGCCGATGGCAATGGTCTTGCCCGACGAAGCGGCCACCTTGCGATTATGGTCACCGATGTCAAACTTGGTGTCCAGCTTGAGGAAGTTCAGGCATCGGTTCAGCGGGTCCGTGTGGAACACGTGCCGCCTCATTGGACGGCCCCGCCGGTTGAAACCTATGTACCGCGACTTGTCGACCACCGACTTGTACCGTGTGTACCCAGTGGACAGCATCTCCTCGTAGAACAGACACTTCGGGCCGCGGAAATGTTTCTGAAAGCAAAACCAAATCATCGTAAATTAATTTGAAGCGATTTAGAATCTGGCGATATAGTGTCTCGTATGTGACATATTATGTGTCTTCTATCTACACTGTTCTATACGTCGGAGAGTGCAAATAACTGCATATTAGTACACATGTTATCAACGTTTTTCTTGAAAGTTTAATATTTATAGAAATAAATAGACCCCCCCTCCTCTTAAGCGATTTGGCTTTGCAACCATAATATATGATATAATATTACAATTTAGGTCCTATGGTACTAATATGTATAATATTATATTAAAATGCATATAAATAGGTAATGACAGATCACAGATCAACATAATATTTAGGTATTATAATAATAATTTTATAATGATTGTATATATTAGTATTATAAAACCTTTTGAATTTATCGGGATTGGTTCCGGCACTGGTTCTCCAAGAATAAACTAAATGTCCCAGTTCGGTTCTAGGTTTTTGATAAAAAATAAAATGAAGGTATCGGTTATAAATTATTTCGGTACCAGTTCCAGGTAATTTAGGTACCTACAGAAAAGTATAATAATTTTAAATACCTATCAGGAATGCTTGTTTAATTAGTAGTATGAGAAATATTAGAACTCATATGATGATCATTGATCATACATCGTTTATACACAAAACAGCAATTATGATAAATAAAATAATTTTATTTTTAAACCTAAAAGAACCTATTTTATTTAAAAATTCCAGTTCAGTTCTGGTACTTTATTAATTAAAATAAAGGTTCCGGTTCTTAATATTTTAAAGGTTCTGGTTCCAAAACAGGTTCTTTTAGATTCTATTCCAGTCTCTGATTTTAACCCTGTGCCTTGCCCCCTGAACTAACAAATAAAATTAGATTAATTTAAGCTATTGAATCTATTCGTTTTCACATAATAGATTATCAAAAAAATCATTTGTACAAGACTTGTTAAAAGGTATATAGTATTATGTACAATGTACATGTCAACATGTTTCAAATGTAGGAATCTACCTATCCATGGCGATATAAACGTAATTACACAATACAAATATTTAATTGTTCTTAATTTTTATACGGGCATATTATATTATATTGTTTGTAGGCCCTATTTCGTATATTATATAAGTAATAAGTGGCTGAAAAGATTGTGACTAAACATTATATATTTCTATGCGGCTTGTGTATGTAATATGTATATAAATATATTATATTATAAAGGTAGGCAGGCATATATTAATAATACGTAGTACCTATATAGGTACCTACGTATCATATAATATTGTAAAGTAATAGTGTCGACATTTATTTAAGACGGCCGAGTGAAAAATGTGTTTTTTCTCGAACATTTTTTTGGTGTATTTACTCAACGCACGCAGACGATAAAAAATAGTATTCGAGTGTGCTAGATTGTGAAATTCATCTTTTAATGTACGTTGAAACAATGTGCAGGAGATACGCAGCAGTCATATCGGTTTATTGTACATCGTAAAAAAAAAAAAAAAAGGAATTCGTTGTATGAAGGGTGAGATGCGCGAGACCGACTGCTGTCGAGGACCTTGTTATTCGATATTCTTAAATATATTATTTAATATTATAATTTATAATATTATATAAGAAAAAAAACTGTATGTAATACTAGTGTGTGTAGTTGTTGACTCTGTACTGTTATGTACACACATACAAAAATATATATAATATAATATAGACATCACTTACCGAACCAACAAGGGACCATTTGTTGTTGAAACACAAATACCGATGCGACTCCTCAGCGAATATCGACAGTCGAATACTGAAGTCCATGGATTTGACGGTTAGGTTTTCTGTTGATATAAAACAAAAAAAAAATAAAAACATTAATTAATCGTTCATCACAGAGTATGACGAGACACAGTTTTGTAAAGGTTCAGTATTATATTTTATGCACGTCATCGCTCATCCGCAGAGTGTGGGGGACTTTGGTGATAATACGTAAATAAGTACGAATTCTTTGTTGAAAAATGTAACACATTTCGTTTGAAGTTAAAATTCAAAAATATATTTTTCGTAAAATAATTCTGAAACGTTAATAATTTTAATTTCACAATCAAAACGCAATGGGAGTTTTTTTTTAAGTGAAATCATGCTTATAATAATTAATAAACATATTTATAAATTACGAAATATCATTTCACATTAAAAAGAAACGATGATCGTTTTTAAATGTTTATCGTTTACATTCGTTTAATTACGTTGATTTGCGGTACCACACGTCACACACAAATTCACAAACTCACAAACTTTTAACACGAACGTTACAATATGCTGTTTTTGAATCATTGGAATACAATTTTTATTGTCCTACAGAGCTCCTGACAGGGCCCTGAGAACGTGTTAATTTATTTATTTTATTACACGACGCATATTATCAAAATCTGTAAGAATTCTATAGATGCGTAGGGCTCGGTGGTTTTAATAGTTCACCGGTAACCGGGTAACGTTATATATATATATGCTTATGTTACCCGAAACAATATGGTATTATGTTCATAAAATAGTTTCCGTGTCGTAAAAATCATAATAATAATATATCGACGAGATGTTTTGTGTGTGTGAGTGTGTTAAAAGTTAAAATCGGATAAATACACGAACAAATCGGTGATCAATCATCGACCGCACTACCTATATTAATGTGTTAGTGAGTTGTTAGCTCTGGGCTGGGGCGGCTTTACAATATGAGGTATCTGTACGTATATACCATGTATTTAGGTATAGGTATAGGTACACGAGTCCGGGACGATAGTTACCTAAAACGCTCCATTCGATATAAGTAACCTTACCGTTAATAATCATATAATATTATGCAGCGCCGCGGCGGTGTATACGGTAAAAAGCGCATTAGTTGTTAATTTATTGTGATACAATATATTATTATTATTATTAATATATTGTTGTGGTATAGCGTTTCGGTTAGGCTCCGCTTTTCGATATTGTTACACACGCAATCCGTGGGTACGTAAGCGCCACAACACATACACGCCATACGTAACCACGACCATCATCATTCGCTGCCGCTTCATTTCGTATTATATAATAATATTGTCAAACGCATAATAGAAAACCAGTACTTCAAATTTCAAGTCACGATCGGCCGTGGAATGTATACAGGAGAGCGTTTCGTATTAACTGATTTAAATAATAATAATAATAATAATAAATAAATAAATAAAACAAACACACAAGCATCACATCATCACTCGGCATATAAGCGCACAGACAATATAACGTTTTGTGTCTTGTGTGTTTATCATCCCGCTGTGGCGGCTTTGGAGGTTATGGAAGAGTAGGACGCGAAGAGGACAAACACGCTTTAAACAACAACAAAAAAACAAACTTTACAACGATTTTCCATTAAAAAAAAAAATCCACCCGTTCGTAGATACCTATTGCGTGACGAGTTAACCAACTCTCCTGCGCACCTCGCCACACCACCTCCAAGTAGGTACATATGATTATTCTAGTTCTATCAAAGTATAAAGCACTACCTACAACATTTTCTTAAAGTAGCTCGACATACATGGTCTTATCGACATCTCAGCGGTATCTTTGATCGGACATTCGGACGTCTTAGTGGTTATTAATAATGTTATATGACATTTTAACGTATATTAAACTAATAAATATTAGTGGCCACGCTGTATTTCTATAGTATGCAAAATAAATTGGTTCGTCTGCGAGAAAAACAGCTTGAAGACATAGTCACTGAATAGGTATACTATAGGTACCTACTATACTTACTATATTATAATATTTGCTTCGGCGTTCAAAAGATAGGTAGGTATTTAATTAATTTTTATTTTGTTGTTGTTTGTGCCTTACATTGTTGTAAAAACATCGGTTAGTGAATATTTTCGATTGATATTTTTCTTAACTTTTTTTTTCCTTTCGGGGTGCCGCCACTGGGTGACTTCCCCCTCCTGTTTACCAAAAATCATCCCATTTACTTATTGTATCACTTGTAAATACAGATTGTAAATATATTATGTTTGTTCAATAAAGTACCTATTTCAAATTCAAAAAAAAAACTTTTTCCTTTATATTATCTTCGAACATTTACCCAAATATAATTATTTCTTTAAAATGTATTTTCAGAAGCAAGGTAAAAATGTTATGTTGAAATGTGCTCGGGTAGTCGGGTGTATCAACTAAATTTTGTTATGATAATATTGAAGCAAATAGGTTACGAAAAATTCAAAATATGTGTTTTACATTCACTTTTCCCATCTAGTACAGTAATTTTTGTTTTTATTAGAATCGTTTTTGAAAACTAAATATGCGCACCGTTTTTGTCTTTTGATTTCATTTTCTTTTTAACTAAACATTCAGCTTCTCAGGATGTATACAACATCAAGCGACTGATAGATATTTTGAAGATTTATATTAACGTCCGCAATCTGCCAGATTGGGATATTTTAGCCAATCTCTCTGATATATTTTATCAAACAATGAAACTCTCCCTTCTTCCTTAGCCACCAGCACAATTAATGAGAAGATAATGCACCGTTCGTGCTAAGGCCCCCTCCCCCCATTCCGGGTCGTGGCTAGAGAGTTAATTTTTCTGAAATAATATTTCAAAAATACCAATTTGAAAAGAGCGATGACGAAGATGGCGAGAAAAAACTGAAAACCTACTCAAAAATGTATACTCTCATAATTAAACCGCGACTAAATAGGATTCAGTTCAGAGTGTTCAAGGGTCAAGTCCTCGTTCTGTCTTCGGCCACTCGGTTACTTGCAGGGTTTTTGGGGCTTTCGCGACAACCGTTTTCCGAATACACGTCTATTAATTGATGTCACTTAATATTATATACGACATCTACAAGACATATTTTAACTGCACACGTCGAGTAGGGCGAGAGTTCGTTACCCTCCGCACTACCTGTTGCTCGGCGGCGGCACACACTCGCGCGCGGTTAGCTATAACATTATTACACCATATACCACGTATACTATAACGTGGTATACTCGGCGATATACTTAAATGTTTATCGCGTCTGTGTCATTGTTCTCGGTTGACGAAAAAACTACGCTATCGACATATCAAATAAGTGCGTACGCGCCCGTGTAAACGTCGTACCTATATACACACGCATATACATATAATAATATTATAATATAATATAAGGTATATACTTTCGAAACGGCGGCGGCGTGAGCACTATAAACATGCGACGTCGTCGTACCGCCGACGCCAGAAACACCGATAGTAATATTATTATTATTATTATTATTATTATAACGATCCGTGTCGATTCCAAAACACAAAACTGATATTATTCGTGTTTGGCGGCGGCAGTGAAATCCATTAATATTCAAAGAACATAAACTATAATATTCGTGTGTGCGCGCGCTTATTCTCATACAATATTATACATTATTCGTTTACTATATTATATTATTATACAGCATAATATATAGTACCTATGCGTTATTATGTATAATATACAGTTACACACGTGTGCGTACCTACGATGTGACGACGATGACGACGACGACTATGACTACGCCGCCGCCGCCGCCGTTCGTTTAAATGTCCATTTTTCGAAACGAATATATAGGACCTATATATTATTATGATATGACCGACGAGGAGACGAGTTGGGGCGCACCATCGCCGCTCGTATTATAAAATTATATTATATTATCTAGCCTCGCGCATAATGATATTACACACACACACAATATGATGTATACGAGTGTATAATACTATTATCGTAGGTACCTATATATTAGGTATACTATTTAATGTAATAATATGCGTGCATGATATATGCGTCGAGTGTATAATATTATACGACGACGTACCGCGGCTTCGGCGTGTGGTGCGGTGGAGGATGAGGAAAATACGAAAATAAAATACAAAACCGAATATCGTCGTGTGTTATATGCTTACGTTGTGATAATAATATTATGCATATAATATACGCCGGTCGTGGTATGCGCAGGCCCACGACTAACCGCGGCGGTATACCTATATACCATACACAGGTATCATATTTTTGACACTATATTATAATATTATATGGGTACGTACAGAGCTGTATACCCATATACCGCTGTCGAAACTAGCTGGTGGAGGCGGACGGAAAATGTTTCAAAGAATTTCACTCGACACGTTATATCAGCTATAATATATTGTTAATATATATTATACGAATTCGTGGCGATAGAAAATATTTGGTCAAAACTGCAGTTTAAAATATAATATTTACCTAGGTAATAAATTGTGCATGCGTCATGTGTGACGTGATGATATTTATAGGCGTTGGAGAAACGTTTGGTACAGGAGCATAACCGCGAAATATATGTTATTATGTATAAAAGGCTGGGCTTTAATGAACTAAAAAATAAAACTGAATTAATGAGTACCACCTATACGTTCAGTTTATATTAAGCTACCTATCTAATTTAACTAATTGTTTTTTTTTTTGTGATTAATAAATTTAAACATACTTAAACTTAATTTTATTAAGTGACAACTGCAGTAGGCAGCTATGAGTAAGAACGTGTTAATACCTAGTCAATTAGCATATTATAAGGTTAGCTAATTGCAATACATCTTTCAGTTCTGAATGGACATTTTAAAACTTTAACTGCTGAATTTTATAGGAGCTATCTATTTAAACTATGATATTGGGTTATTTTTTATTACAGAATAATATGTAATTATAATACACCCATACATGTATATATGACAACGGACAAGGACTATAATATAATAACAATATCATCTAAATAAGATTAATGCAAACTGTGCTGGTCAGTACCCATGGCTTAAATATACAAGGTTATTGCACATAGCCATTATTGTTATCAAATAAAATAAAATGGCAGCGTAAGGGTCACGATTCTTTATCAATTATTGTTATCACTTAATTATATAATGTATAATGTATATATTCATATAATATACAGCCAATCAAAACATCGCCCCTTACGCTGCCATTTTAATTTCTTAACAAGATAAAACGATTTAGTGGGGGTACTACTGCAATAACCTTGTATATTTAAGCCATGTCAGTACCTATATAATATGTACTAAAAAACTTCCAGTTAGTTTTTAATTTTAGGATCAATAACCGATCTCGGTAAGAGCGTCTGCATAAATACAGCAATATTGTTATTTAGAAGGAAAAACCCTAATATTGTATTAAGTTACGGTATTTCATTGAAATGAATCGTATAATCCTTGAAAGGAGTGTAGCCAATTAAACGGATATACTAAAAAAATAATTGCTATTAAAAAAAAAATAGTAAATATATAAATGCAAGGCCACTGGTGTTAAGTAAAACTTTTTTAGATCAGTAATCTTGTTGTTGGCATATTTTTTTAATACGAGGGTCTGTCTAAGATATTTTCTAATAGCTTCTTCGAGTAGATTTTTAAGTAGGTAAAAATATTAAATAACTTTCCGAGTTCAGCTATTATCAGTGGAGTGCTCAGGGGAGGGTTATGTCCCACTCCCTATTGTCTTATAAGATGATCTTACGATGGTGTATACATAACTCGGATTTGTTATGATTTGAGTTGTTGCAGGTTTGAACTGAGGCGTCGATGTATCAGACCTAATATTAGGTAGGTATATATACCGTTCCATATACTTTCGTTCGATTTGTAAACAGTACCGTCGGATTATACGCATGTGATGTGCGTATAAATTATCGTCGAGGGACACGCCGCTCTCGGAGGAAACCTGCAAGTATGCGGGAGTAGTTACATTATGCATAGGCGTTACACACGAGGAGTACCTATATTATTAAAATATATTATATCATGCATACCTATAGATATGCGTGCAACAGGACGTGTATGTAATAATATTATCATAACGATGTCAACGGGAGAAAAAAAAATCGGTAAGATTGTATGGCGCATTCCTGCACCACTTATATAATCTAATATTATTATGAATTACAATCATCTCCCACCCGTCCTCGCCACGCCAGCTCGGGCACGACAAATCAAACGGGCCGTGATCGGAGGCGGAGAATTCGCCGTTCGGAATGAACAATCATAATCGTGAACTCGGCATAATATAGTAAGTTATCGCAGGTGCCTATATGTGTAGAATATATTATTATATTAGTACGCTCACGAATATGGCGTTTTGGCCACTACGATTATCCCCACCGCCGTGCCACCCCTGTGATCGAGGTGTTATACAATATTTTTTTTTCCGCAGCACAAAATAATGCGCGTATATAAATTATATATTATACTTGTCGACCTTTAGTTTTATCGTTATCGTTCCGATGGTATGTACCAATCGATCCCGAGAGTGGCGTTCATTATGTGCTATAAACAATGTGTTTTTAATGGACGAGGCGCGATCACGACGACGTGTGAATAAATATATCAGTATAATATAACATAGGTATACTTACGAAATGGATTCGAAGTCTCGTCGTCGGCGAGAACTCGTCCCCGGTAGTCAACCCTGACATTTCGACTACTGCAATCGTTGTACAGTCGGACCCCAAATCCATAGCCAGGGCCGCACCTCCAAATGTCGCACAACACCACCTGTAAACACAAATCGTGAACGTTCAAGTTACTATATTCACTGGTATTTGATAAGAACAAATTATAATAACGATAACAACAATAATACTGGGAAATTACGTAGGAACGGCTTTTTATAATATGTAGGCACTCACACAATAGTATGATGTCATAATAATATTATAGTATAGCAGGACCATTTTCCAGAAAAATGTATCTGTTACCCACATATAGTTCTAATAGTTTAGTGTTCAATTCGAAATTACCGCATAAATTAAAAAGCGTGTAGTCGTTAACATTTTCCAAAAAGCACATATTTTATTCCTTCCCCTTCACGGCTCCACCGTCACATGCATGATTGTTGTACCTTCGATTTGCGGTACGAATGTCATTAAAAAATATCTTTGCCGTTGTGTGTGCGCGGGCATAAACAATATACATATTATAGGACGTACCAGGGCTGGAACCTTTTGAATTTATCGGTATCGATTCCAGTACCGTTTCTTCAAAAATAAAATAACGGTTCCGGTTCCAAATAATTTCGGTACCTACCGAAAAGAATAGTAATTTTAAATACCTATCCGGAATGCGATTTAAATTAGTATGAGAGATATTAGGAAACTCATAACATGATCAATGATCATATTATGAGTTTCCTATTTTCCCATCATTGATCGTATATGGATTATATGCAAAACAGTAATACCTTTAAATTATGATAAATAAAATTATTTTATTTTTGAACCTAAAAGTACCTTTTTAATTTAAAAATTCCTATTCGGTTCCTTCCGGTACTTTATTTATTAAAATAAAGATTTCGGTTCTTAATATTTTAAAGGTTCCGGGTCCAGAACCGGTTCTTTTAGGTTCGTCTTCAGTCCCTGTCTTATACCATATAGTTATTTAATATAATATTTGATATCGGTGACGTTAATTTGATGAATTACAACCCGACTACCCTACCACCCTTGAAAAAACGTCATCTACACGTGTCCGGAGACGAAAAAGGTAGGAGGCTGCAATAACAGCCGAAACGACCATGAAAAGCTCGGAGACGTCCGCCTCTCAAACGCCCCTTTCTCAAACGCCGTCACTGCATCGGTTTATTTCATTATAATATGACGGGAAAATATTATTATCAATACTATACGGGCTATATGTACTTAGCAGTTTAATATAATCATATTGTGATATGCGTGTAAAAAAAGGAAAATAATATAATATTGTATATAGGTACACGACGCACCACCCACCGGACGTGCACTAAAGAACGTTTCGACATTTTGACGTCAGCTGACGAGACGCTCAGCAGCACCACTACTACGGCAGTTCAGTAGACGTGTGGAAATTTAAAAAATATTACAATATCGTATTTTCAAAGACGAAAGTAAAAAAACGCTCTCTATACTATAATATAGTTCTATTATTATAATTAATATGATTGAACGCGATGATGCCTAGCTGCAAGCGCCTATATTGGCTGTATTATATATTTTTTTTTATGTTCACCCATATCAATCGCATTAACGTTATGCGTTATACCACATACGCGGTATGCGGGTGTGAACCTCGTTAAATATACGTGTACCCACTAAAAAAAAAACTTGATTTTGTCGAAAACCCAGCACATGTCTATATAACAATATGCGCACACCGCGCGTGCGCGTGTGTATATACTGCAGCTAGGTCGTATTATATTCGTTTTCGGGTCGGACGGGTTAATTACTATATAATATTATTATTATATAACAGTGCCGCGAGATAGGTAGGTCAACATAATATACCTCGTACGAACGGAATTTCGGTCCCGACAAACGGACACCTCCTCGGCGCGAACGCTCGCGCAAACGATAAACGGCGGCGGCGTCGGTGGCTGCAAAGAGAGACTGCGGCGGGTGTGATATACGATCCGGACGACGGGGGCGTGAGACACGGGGACAGCGGCGGAGGGAGGGGTAGGCGTTTCGAAAATTTTCTCGTAATTAAAACAACGGATTTTCACTTTGAAAAAACTCGATTTAAATTGGGTATACCTGTACGGTTTTTTCTCTCACCGTCCCGCACGCTCTTTTCGTCCGTTTGTATGTCCGGGATACTGTAAGCGTATCGTTTCGTCTTTCGTCTTCACGTGCGACGTCATAGTAATTACTTTTCGACATCGTCGCCTCCATATTATATCGGACGTTGTTACATGTATAACAACGCGTAAGCAACATAACCACGTGCCCATACCGGGTAGGATATTATAATATATATGACGTGGGGCACAGAGTTTATTTCTCGACGGTAACCCACACCCGACCATACGGCAATATGACCGTGTGTGCATTACGTGATAAATCGTGATCATGATACGGATTATGGTGCTTATTCTATACAGTATATCATCTGTATAGTTCTCGGGTGGTTTTTTTGGAAAATATATTATAACGCGTGTGAGACAGTCGGACGGAAATGCATTTCCCGTAGACGTTGCTAAATTATAACGAATTCCGTTTATCGTGTGTTGGTAACAACTAATAAACAGATAACTGTGCGGTATAATATCCTTCCCCCCCCCCCCCGGAAAGCCTCGCGCTTATGGTCAACGATTTCAGTCTTATGCTATTGGACACTCTACAGATGCATCAAGTAATGTCAGTATAAGATCGTTGGATTTAAAGACTGCATTGTTATAAACATGACGTGTTAAGTTCAAGACAAGAAATTGTATAAAAAGATGGTAACAAATAAGTATATGGACTAATACTAACAAGTCGTATAGGACGTACGAAATTATTCAACCGGATAATTATTTATGAAATATAACTCATTGAGCGTGGTTCGTTTATAAGTAACTAAAATCACGAATATTTACTGAAATATCGACTGATAGACGTTAATAAGAAATACCGTACTCCTTATACACATAACAATGTTGTATTATATAAATCGAATTTGGTGACCAATTATTTTATTTATTAGGTATTAATTTTATTGTTTTCAGTATTATTATTATTATTATTATTAATTCGTCCTCGTAATACTATTAAAACAATCATCGCGTACGTATACCACACACGTATTATCATATGCACACACGTTTAATATTATATGTAGGTAGATATGATATCCCGACGGGGAGTCGTGAGCGTTATTAAAATAATATACGTACACCTATATATTATAATAATAATAGTAAGATAGTCTGTTTGTTTGTTTCTTAACGAGGCGAACGAACCTTGAGGTAGAGAAATAATTCACTCGGAATAAACACGAAAACACAATGAGACAATGCAACTGGTACGCTACACGTTTTCGATTACCAACACTGTCTGTTTATATTCGCTAAAACGGCCTGGAAAAACGATATTGTTATTTTCCTACTGCTGGTCCACTATTGTTGATAAAGTGTCATGGTAGTAATATTATATTATTTATTAGATACACCATGGTGGTGACCATAGGCCATAAGAGGAAAAGTTTTTGAAAATAATCCGGATAACCTGTGCAAGTCGTCGCTCGCTACGTACCTGTGCACTAGAAAAAATAATTATTATGAACAGTTATTCATGTACCACGACTTTCTCAGACATCGGCAGAATATGACGTACAGTTTACGAGCTCTGAAATAACTATGGTATAGAAATGACATGTTTAAAATATTTAAATACCATCAAATAATTATAGGTACATCAAGTGGAGGGCATTTTTCAAAATCCTAACATTATAATCGTCTCTGTACAGTCCAATTTTTAGGTACGAGAATAATATAATAATATTTACTATCTCTTTTTTTTGCTCCCTCGCAGACAGCGAGACGGTGACATTACTAAACGGAACTAACACTATGCAAGTTAGGTACTTAATTATGATTTGTTATATTATACAAGTTAGCGGTGGCGTAGATATATTGAATTTACCACTGCAGTGGAGATTGAGTTGGGTCAGTGCATGCAAAGTACTTCAGAATTCTGTAATGCATTTTAATAATAATTATAATAAATTGCAATCGGTCTGTGCCGCATAACCATATTGTTGCGTTTGATGTGGTGACATGCACAGTGCGGGGAAAATAACATAATGTCGTCTCGTTGATCGAGAATCCTAAAATACCACTCGTATATTATATTATAACGATGATGATAATCTTCGACAATAAAACACACCTGGGATTATAATAACAATATATTATATGTATATATATATATATAATATGGGCGTGTATAGATGCAGTGTGGTATCGAAACAATGCACGTTGCAGTCGTAAACATAATTATGCACAGTCGGTGTGGAAGAAATAGGTGTGCATATCTAAATCCGACTTACTATATTATAATTGATTATATTCGTTAGAAAAAAAACATTTAACTCGTGAAACCGCGTTCTAAGTCGTATATCATAGATACATAATAGTCAAAATGGAAAAAAACTCATCTTGTTTTTTCCAAATTTATAATAATAATATATGTCAGATGTGTACATAAAAAAAAATTAACATCTGACCTTTCTGAGTAGTAAAATTATAGTTTCCGGTATCGTCGATCTCCTGGCCCGGATTCATTTCGAATAGGTGAATATTATAGAAAACAGCAATGGCGGTTTTTTTAGGGGGTGGGAGAGCGGATTCTACGTTGGACCGATTTCCAAAATGCTAATTTTGACTTATAAATATTTTAATAAATGAAATAAAGAAAACAATATTTTCACATCATTTAGATGCTCAAATCTCTCAGATCATATTCAAAATCACGCTATTGAGGAGTATACAACTACAAAAATCCACTTAATTATATTTTATACTATATAAGTACATCGAAGCAAATGTGAACAAGCATTAGGTACCCATGCTTAATACAATATATTATTATACTTTTAAATTACATAATTAATATATGTAAGCACGCGCAATATAAACTTATAAACATGCATATATAGGTACAATGTATATATAATATATATAGTAATTGATATATAATCAGTAGTAATTGTATAGTAATTGAACGAATGTTGAGTTGAAGGCGTACGTGAAGGTTTTTTCTAATTGGATTTGAGTATTAATTTGATATAACGTACCATACGGTATTGTTGTTTTAAACGACATAATATTTAATCAATTGTAATAGCACGTATGTAATAATATATAAAAGCCATTCGAAATTGATTGACATAATAAATTATGTATAGAAATAAATTATTATTGTCGATTGTTATTCGATATTATTTTAACGGGCACAATGATGAACCTCGATTTTCCTAAGGCCACCTATAAAGAACTGATTGAATATATTTAGGCGTCGATTCCAATAACAATTACGTTTACTATAAAAAAAAATATAGCCGATCGCCTGCCGCACGTGGTTTGAACCACAACATCATTATAATACAATTGTCATAACGATGATGGTTATCGGAAATATAATATAATATTATTATACTATTATTGTTATACGCACCTCTACCAATATCTAGGACGCCAGAGCCAGATTTACGATTTTTAGGGACGTTTAGAACGGAAAATTGCCGATCGGTGGTAATATTAATTTGTTTGATGATTCTGTATAACATCTCGGAAACGCCTCGCAATATCATTGTCGTTGCGGAAAACGTCCCACCAAACGTTCATCGCGTTTCCTCTCGGCCGAGCACTTTTCACCGAGAGTGGATTTTCCGAAAGTTTTCCGAGGAACAGAAACGCGAAACCGGTCGGGAGAAAAGTATTTATTCTATATATGATTGAAATATAATATGAAATTCAATTTCAAAGCACGGGGGCAAGTAACTACCAGGTATATTAGCTTAAATCATTTTCCAACCACGGTATTTGGTATAGTAATGCGACTCTGCACAAGTCGACGACGACGACGACTTTTGAATGCGAGGTTCCTGTTGGCGAGTCGTAAAACCGAGGAGCAGTTCTGCAGTCTCCCTACGAGTATTTTTGTTGTGGTTAGTTATTTGCTTTATGAAAACAATATTATATTGAAAACGATAGACACGACGACGTACTGTGATGGCGCGAAACCGCCCGCCGTACACATACCACATGCGACCAGACGACCACCGAGCAATAATGTGATAAATTATAATAGGTATTTATATATTATTATAATATAATATATAATAATGAAGTACGACGCGTCGCATATTATATTATATTAGGTAACTATCGTAAAAACGCGAGTTTTTGATCATCGCCGGAGGCCACCCTCTGCAGCCCATATGATAGGACCATTAACGGGAGACCAGCTATAACATAATATTATTACCGGGTTGTGTGTATATATATATATATATAGGTGCGGGTATTGAAAATAATAAAAACCTAAATAAAACGATAGTGTTTATTGATTGCTTATTGCGCCCGAGAAAGAAGCGTCGGGAGGCTTCCACATAATAATAATATTGTGAGATATTTTCTTTTTTTTTTTATTCTTGCCGAGTTCGGTCCGTTCTCACACCCATAAAGTGCAGCGAGGGCGGTCTGCAGCACCCAACACATCGTCGTGGCCAATACCGTTGGCATTTATCACCCGATAATGAGCTCCCGTCACGATCGCTTTTCGTTTCATTCTTTTCCGCACACATAACAATATTCATTATGTCTATTTACTTTTACGACAACGTCGGCGCTAGACTGCAGCGAGACTCGGTCCGATTTTTCGGCATAAAAAATTCACACGGCGGGGAAAATCGTCTGTACAATATATTATTATCGTAATATTATACCCGTCGGCGGGTTACCTGCAGCCGTTTAAGTGCGCATACATCATATTATGCATAATATAATCGTGTTAGTTGCACGTTATTACAAGTACTTTTACTTCTCCGAAACTCATCCGCTTTTTACGATTATTTACATAATTTTATTATTTTCCCATATTTATATATTATTATTATTATAATATCGAGATGCGGATAAACAATGTGCGCCCGTCGTAATATAAGCGACCGGAGGTATATTAACGTAAATTATTGATCGCCGCCACGTCACTATATTATAATATTTTTTTATCGATACTGTACGCGCAACCGAATAAGATTCTTTTCACTATATTATATACATAGACCGATATCGACAATGACGTCCTGTAGAGTGCGTATATTATAATGTATGACGCTATGTCGTAAAAATGTTTTTTTTTTTTTTTTTCGGAACCATCAGACGTTTTCTGGCACTCGGAAATATGTCTAAACGCTTGTCCGATATTTAATAGTAATATATTATATTATATAGTGTGTAAACTTACACGATACACTTGAAATTCTTCATGTTCGTTTAATTTAGAAAAGATTATAGGTTCCGAAACTGGAGAAAAAAAACTACATAAAACTACATGGTAGTTTTACTAGTGGCACTAATAATGGTATAAATATGATCAAAAGTGTGAACTCGACCAATCGGCACCGATATTAAACTGGTTTTCGAAACGAATCGCTATATATGCCTGCACGCATTGAATTCGTTTCGGCCTAGTCCATAATAAAAACGATTTTCGAGTCATCCAAACGGTACGATAACAGTTTTGGAAAAAAAAAATAATAATTTAACGCCCGGCACCATTAATAACGATTTATGTTTGTTTTTACGACTGTGTATACATGCGGAAAGTACTTCTTCGAGAATATTCCCGATCGGTAAACAAACATTTAATTATTATTGGACTACGGACAGTCGCTATTTATTGTAATATATTATATTATATTTCCGGTTCGTTTTAATTATTTTCACCGATAAAATATAATAACATAATAGATGCGTGTCGGTCATTTGCATAGACTTCGTGGCAGGCATATAATATAATATATAATATCGTTGCAGTAGGTGTTGTCGGCTATTTTTATTGCCGCGCGTGATAAACAAAAAAATCTAACTGCTAATGGGTGTCGTATTTCAAATGTCGATAATATATTTTAGAAACCAGAAAACATACGCACAGTATTGATATAGATTGAATTCTAGAAGTCGGCTGGCGCCTGTACAACATACAACGTGTATATACACGGCTATACATATGCACAACAGGTTGACTATCATAATATATGATAATATCGTCGCTTACACATGAATCGTAGGTAGGTACATCACCCCAACCCAACTCGCTATTGTTTTCATTTTTATTAGAGACATCAGGGAAACCATAAGAAAGTATAAATATAAAGATACACGTTTCGTGTATTATAATAATATTAAATTTCTGAACACGATTTTTTTTAAATTTTAAATAGGTGCGATCTGGGGTGATGTATAGACGTTGTAACAGTGCTGCAAGATGGCCTTCGATCAGAGTTCGCAGTTTTCCGCGGTCAGTCGTCATCAGGTGATTTAACAATAAAAATAATAATATGCAATACCAATATCTGGTCGGTGAAAACTTAAGGTCGATACTGCCCGTCGTTTGACATTTGCCCGCAGTTAAAACTATCAATCGATACTAATTTAAGTTGTTCGACGTTACCACCGCTGCAGCGTCCATCAATTGAATGCGACCAACTGCGCAATAATACGTAATACAAAGTACGTAATAATGTCGTCGCGATTTTTATATAATTTCCTTATGAAATGCATCATGTACGTTCTGTCGTGTTCCCAAGTCCCGTGCATAATATTATCATAAACGATGATATCGAAAATATACAATATATATGTACGTGGCGTACTCTATAATTATGGTCGTACCATTGTAGACGGTCCGTGGCGTCCGTCATAAACAATGTTGTTGTTATACTATTCATAAATGGAATGGAGTTCAGTCGTAATTTGCTACACGTCTTGACCTCAGAACAAGTATAATAATATGAACAAACGTATATTATATTTTATTTATCGCTATACCAACTATTTTATCAAATGTTTTCAACATTATTATTTTTTATAATTTACTAATGTATTATTGTTTTATTGTTGGACAATCTAGCAATTTTTATTGGTTATTAGTAATTACTGATAGCCCAATAATTCGTTTTTTTTATCAGCGAATGTTTGTTTTAAATATTATAATAGGTAGTATTCGACATTCTTTCCGGAGATAACTATTATTGCATATAGTTATGTCATTGTTGTCTGTGGCACTTTTCATTGAATTAAAATATCAATAAAAATATTACGAACGGTTTTTTTATTGATTTACATAGAGCAATACCTACTTTAAAATGTATATGAATAATAATTGTAATCATGGTAAAGATATATGTTTTTATTTGTAAAATTTATAAAACACGTCATTATGTTCCTGACAAATGTTTGCATATTTTGACAAATTGTAATGCATATAAGCGTGAGAATATTGAACAGTTGTATAGTGCATATGTGCATTAAACAGCAGCTCAGGATTGAACCCAATACCTGACTACCATCAAATAGGTATACCGGTAATTAGTTTTCTAATTTAATTTTTACGTAATAATAAATTGTTATGTCGCGTCCACAAGACTGTAAATTATAATATAATTATATTCCTATACGTAATGATGTGACTACGATAAAAAAAACAAAAAACAAAAACGTGCACTACTCACCATTAATAGAACGAAAGCACTCTGGATTATTTTTGTTAACCTGAAACGAAAAAAAAACCAATTAATAAAACGTCGGTGTGTGATAACACATTGTGATGTACATAATATTATATTATTATTATTATATACTCATTCTTATAACGACATTAAATAAATAATGAATTAATATATTACTATGGATTGCGTATTGTGTTGTAATAGTAGGTTATTACTTTTTGTAATATAAATGCCAACACGAAAACGATCGAAATCCGTTTGGTACAGTTTCGTACACAGACGCGCCAACAATTTCGCCGGCGTTTCGTTTAGGCAAAACATGCACCATAAACGACTTGATGTGAATTCATTTGGCATGCGTTTAGACTTTAGGCGAACGCAGTAGACGAGATATCTATATTTCTTTTTATCTTAAACTACGTATTTTATTATATTCTACTCACACACGCGTGGCCATTGGGTACTCGACACGTATTTATATTGTGGGAGCAGAATTTAGTTATTCAATTATTATATTTTGTAATTATTCCACAAAATATTTTAAATATTGCTTTGGATATAAGTATGTCTTGCATTACCTACCTACCTATATATAATTGTATCGGTATGGCCGGTGTGTAGACTTGTTCTGCGAGTAAGTATCGGGCTAAAAAAAAATATAAGTATACGAGAAAATAACAAAATCACCGCGACGCTTTGCTTATTACCGCGTGACAAAATATAGAATAGAAACCGGTTGCTATTTCATAACTCACTATATGCGCAAACAATTTTAATAAATCATCATAAAATTTATGTAAAAGTGAAAATATTAAAAAATATAAATAATACGTCGCTTGATTTATTAAAATCACATGTCACTTAATGCCCGTACAAACGGGTTTACTACCTTATAAAATAATTAATACACAATATGTAGTATAATATATATTATAATTATACGTACAAAATGTTTTAATGAAATTTGTTCGCGCGGCGTATTCTGCGTTGGATATATATTACAACCTACCATGTTCAGATAATAAAATATATAACATTGCATATTGTATAAATTGATTGCAAGTCACAATACGATTTCTTATTGTTTTTATTTGGTTGGAAGGACCTGCACTAAACGGCCGTGCGGCAAATAAAAAAAAACCATTTTCGACTGTTGCAGCAGGCTTTTATCGATCTCCGTCGTTTAGTTGTTGATATTGTATGGACGTACGTCGACCATGTGTAATGAATATTATAAACATATTATTATTATTATTATATCGAATTAGGCACGAAAAATAAATATACCGCACATACAACTCCAACAGGTAGGTATACTCGCGTTGTTATTTATAATGGACGTCGTCGTTGAAATCGATTAAAATATTCGATAGCCGAAAGCTCGAGGCCGTTTTAGGTTTTTTACATATTATAATATACACATACCGGCGCGAATAGGATAAACGCGTGTGGGATTCGAAATATTTTTTACTCGCGCAAACGGTTGTCGTACGTATTATATTATTATTATGGGCGTAATACGTATATATATTAACACAATACGCGCATTGTGTTATTATACACACACACACACAAACACACACACAAACACACTATAATAATATTAAACGCGTAAACGGCACTCGTGTGTGTGTGTGTGTGTGTGTGTGTGTGTGTGTGTGTGTGTAAAGCTAACGCCGTTCGAACAATCGAATAATACGTATATAACGTCTCGCGGGGGACATATGGCGAAAAGAAACAAAAAATCTGAAAGAAAAAAAACCACCTGATTTATCGCTTGAGTTTCATTTTTCGGCGGCCGAGACTTCCCACGGCGGTCTCTCGGGTACAACATAATATTATATACATATTATTATTATGTTCTCCGACGGACACCTCGACACCCATTCCGCTCGGTCCGTCAAGTGCTTTTTTTAGGCCCGGTCGGCGCCAGTGTTTAGCATAATTTTTATTATTATCATTGTATTGGGTTTTTTTTCCCACAATTGATTGAGAATCAATTGACTATTATTTTTTTTTTCGACTGTTCAACAATACTAATCGTCCGAATTCCGCACAAGGTGGATGACGTGACGTTTTAGTGACACTCCACCGAACCAGTCGTCACAATTAATGCAGAACCTATATAGGTAATATAATGTATCAAAACGTAGTTACTGTTATTATAGTCCCTAAAATACAAATAACACGATATAAATTTTAATAACTATTAAATAGGCATAGAGGACACATCTAAAAAATCGGTATCTTTGAAATGTTTTGTAATTTAATGAGCCTACATACTGTAACAACGACTATGGTCCGTTAGGTATATCGAATGTTGTAGCAGATAAAGTAATTTTTCTCAACCGTAATATTTTTAATTTCCTTACCAAATTTGTTCACTTAATCATACAAAGCTATTTGAAAACACCATAAAATGAGTTTGAAAATTAAAATATAGAAAATGAAAGTTTTTGAAATCGTTCACATTGCAGGCGAGTGCAGATACATCAGTATAAAAAGGGTATAATTTTGGTCGTTCACGTCAAAAATGTGTTATTACGTCGAAATCGATTTAAAATATATTTACGTATAATAATATGACCATATGTCTATAATTTACACTGTTTATTAGGCGGACGTTTAAAACGAGTCAATATAGAAGAAACAAAGAATTCACAAACTATTCGTACAAAAGTAAATAATAATTTATCGAGCTCCCGCGTCTTCTCATCCTAATTAAACGATTACATGCGTGTTTATCGACGGTAAATTAAGGTTTTTTTCCCCCCGTTGTTAGATAGTTACCTCCTGTCCATATACATTATTATAGAAGTCCGTGCGCATACATATTATAATACCTACCTATGTAATTCCGCCTTGAAACGATGTTTTTCTCCGATACGTTTTGATGTTGTTATAGGTGAATCCATAATACTCGTTGCCGCATAGGACAGAGAAGGCAATAAAAAATACGTTCGGGTTGTGTACGTACGTATTACTATGCCGGTTTAATTCTATTTAAATTCCAATAAATTATTCGCGCGTATCCTCCGACGCATATATAATATACAATAATAATACCGTATTATATATACATTAAAAACTATTAATATTTTGAGACGCAGCCAATGCGTAGAAAAATTAAAATAATATATACCGAGAGAACCGTAAAAAAAAAAAAAAACGTTACAAATATTGCAGTTGCCAAACAGAATAAATAATAAAATAAAACATCAAAGTGATCGACCTGTGCCGCTCGTAATGACTTCCTCGTTGAAAAAGTAAAAACATTTAATACAAATAATATCTTTGAAAAAAAAATCACAAAACAAAAACACGTTGTTCCTCGCAAACCCCATTCCCGGCTTGCACTATAATAATATGTATTGATGTATTATGATGAGTTATAGTAAAACATATAAGTATCAAAAATAAGGTAACATATGGTAGTACGAGTGTAGTGGCTCATTTTATATTACCAAAAATGGCCAAATTTCTAGTTAATACAATAATATTAATTAATGCACAATCAAACATAAAACACAGATATAATTAATGTTTTAGAGTTTTCATCAATTGACTGGGAAAATATTAAAACGTATTTCTGCTAATATTAAAAAAAAAAAAACTACCTACCGCCTACCAAGAGCGCGTTTTAATCGTTATTATATTATTTACCCAGATCATGTTAAATTATGCTGTAAGCCAGTTGATTTATAATTTTAGAAAACAATTTTATTTGTTGATAAAAATGCTCTAGGGAGTGTTGATCAATCTTTGAATCGTGAATGAAATAAGTACAATACTTAGCGGCTCCCTGATTATAGCGTATATACATAGTATTATTTGTAAGTGTACTGTACGATGATATCAGATTATAATATTATTATTATACCTAGCATTCGTTCGGGTGGTCGTTGTTGTGTTGTAGTCCGCGAATGATTAAGCCCAAATACCTACACACACACACACACACCCGCGTGTTTCATAATCGAAAACAAGGAGCGCACGCCGCGAGCGTAAATCATTTTTTTACGGTATGAAACTACCGAGTAAAAATATGGTCGTGTGCGGTATAGTAATAAGACGCATGGTGTGAGGCCGATTAAGAAAATATATCAAATCGAAAAAAAATTACGAAGTCGATAAACCGATAAACACCGCGAATAAGCCTTAGGCTTGTCGGCTCGCTGTATACCACACGAGTTGACATTTCGTTTCCATCAAGTGCATATAGACATTTTCACAGGTGTGAAAAACATATAAAAACATGCAAACCGGTGTGCATGAGAACCCAGAAAATATATTTTCAAAACACTTATTGGGTTTTATTGGCTGTCCGTCTTCAAGCACCACATGGGATGTGGCTAACCGAGCTTTTTTCGCTCACGTTGGGGTCAAGCTCGACTATTTCGTGCGCACGGGGAGCATTGCAAACTATTGTGCAAGAAGTCCGATCGATCACGAGGAACTGGTTTTGGTTATGTAGTAGCACAGTCGATAAAATTGTTGGTACATTATTAATTATTATAATATTATTATAATAATATACTTCATCAACGCTGTACCCATAATAACAGTAGGTCGAGTGTTTGGATACGCGATTTCTAGACACCGTGGGGCTCATATTGTATACCGCGATTCTCCCCAAAACGTCGTCAATGTCATAATACTGAAAAGTGAAGCCTAATGCTAGACCGACCGATAGGCATAGAGCGTTAGCATTAGGTATACTATTAGGTATATATACTCATTATTATTGTGTAGGTAGTCGTCGTCCGCGTATTTATACGTTTCCCCGGCTGAATTATCACGCCGCGGCTCGCATTCCTCTCACCGCGCACATAACATTATAATAATATTACCTATACGTGAATTTATGACACAAACATAATTAATATCGGTTCAACGGGTTCCCCCGCGGGTCGCCGCCACACTGCACCCCCAGCCCGGCCTTAAACCGTTCGAGTGTGTGTGTCGATAATGAAAACTACCAGTACCAAAATGAAAAAAAAAAAAAACAACAAAAAAAACGTTTATAAAAATCGATACACCGAA